ACTTAAGCTCCCAAAATGAGTCAAAATAACTCTATATAATAGAGTTATCATCTAGGCACACACACAACGTAGGCCACCCATATGGCTCACATCACAGCACACAATTGCACACAATTCACATATATACATATACACATATATTGTTCTCTAGTTTAGGTTCATTTGTCTGGGCATACATATTTCATTCTATACCAGTGCAGCGCATCTTTCATGCGTCATGCTTTACATGCATATTAAACTAAACCCACTCACAGTGACAATACGAGGGACTCCCTGCCAAGTTTTAATCCTTAGCCTTCGATTGTCATCTAGCTTGCCAATGAGTTGATTTAACTCTGTTTCCCCCCTTCAAACACATTAGAACATCAAAAGATTATTTATTTTTGGCTTTCGAAAAATGCCAACATTTCACACGATTAACTAAATCGTGGCAATCCAATTATTTAAGCTTAAATCCTTCATTCGTGAGATAAACCTATACCTTGTAAGCTCGATTGCATAAGTCTTAGTTCCAAATTCCTCAATCCAAGCGAAAGAGGGAAAAATACCAAATTTGGAGAAAAGTCAGATTCAAAACTATTAATTGAATAAATTGGAAAATAATCGGTAAAAGCGTTAAATCTTACCTCCAAAATGGTTTCTCAAGCTCTAAATAGTTTCAAATCACTTCAAAAATCCATTTGCGGCTTGAGGGTTTCGAGTTTCTAGAGAAAGAAAGGGTTAAGCGAAATAGCCCGAAATCCTCTTTTTATTTTTGCCCTTCTTCTTTGATGTATCAATACATTTTGGCAACATATCGATACATCTGCCTTAATTTTGAATGAATGTATCGATACATTGGGCTAATGTATCAATACATTTTGGGCAAAATGGCCCTAGTTGCTTTCTGCTTCAAATGGATCTATACTTTTGAATAATGTATTGATACACGTTCATCTTTAGCCCAATCTATCGATACATTCTCAAATGTATCGATAAAATATTCTTCCTAGGGCCTTTGTTGTTCATCCTACCATGAATGTATCGAGACATTGGGTTATGTATTGATACTTTCACCCCTGTCACCAGTTCTAAGTTTCCCAAACACTCCAAAGTCCAAGTTTAATATTCCAATACTATTCTCAACTGATATTACAACTGAAATCATTCATTTAAATTAATCCCATACACATAAATCCACAAACATAACATCAAACTTGTATCGAAACGTCAAATTATGAAATTTATCACATATTTCCTCAAAGTTTTGCCTAAGTGTCAATATATATACTTTCAAACACTTGGCATACGTATCTTATCATCAAAGCCCTTAAGACTCCACATATTTTATAAATCATTTTTAGTGTACATAAAAAATAGGGGGCATTGCATTGCAATCCTTCTTCTTATAGTAGATGAATTTTTGCTCTCTGTTTCACAAGTATTGACCTATCAAAAATGGAAGGTTAATCCCAATAGCTGAATTTTGACAACTGAGTGCTTTTTGAACTTCTTTTATACACATCATCTTTGCAAAAACATTTCTAAAACTTTAAGGGATATTTTCATAACTCAAAAAACATGTTAAGTGACTTGTTTAACTAATTCTGATCATTTAATTTTGTCAATTCAAAATAAGGTCAATTTTAAAGCCAATAGATGTGATTGGGTTCAATTTTTTGATTGGTATCCATTAAATGTCACATGGCCATCCTAAACCCCTCTAAAAATCCACATCAACATTTTAGGCCACACTAGCATTTCGTGCCATGTCAACGCAAAAAGCTCATTATCAGCCCAATCAGATGCCATGTCAACGGTTTGAATGAATAATTTTTACAGTGCTAACAATTGAATTGATATTGACAAATTTATAAAAACATAAAAGACTTGATCTATAAAAATTATGGTACCCGAATTAAATCCAAACTTCTTGTGAAGTAAATAAGTTAAATGCGTGAATTGATGACCTTTTCTTGCTTATGAGTCAAGACAAACCTTCTCTCTTTCCATGACGATGCACTGCCAGTCCCCGACGAACTTGAATTTGGAGTTCGATTTACATCGTCTTATCTTCTCCATGATAATTTCTCATTCTCCATTACATTTTTCCAATGCTTCGCATTCCCACATCACCTTGCTTAACAATAAACCATCTACCCCTTCTATATATTTTTTGCATGTTTGAATCTGACTTGGATAAAATTAGTTGATTGCTTTATGGTTTTGTTTGTGCTTAGGAGCAAAAGTTATTTACATTCATGTATCTGTCTTCTCTTTAGCACAAGAGTTTGTTCTTATGCCACAATAAATTTGCATAGGATTTGTTAAGCCTCTCAAATTTGTTCAAGTATTATCCACTTCAAGGAAATATGGCGATGCAATTTGGGCTGTTGTAGCAATTAAACTAGTGCTGATTATATTAAAAAATCATTAAGAGATCACAACAGCAATCGATTCACAATGTTGGATGTTGGAAGTGATAATCTGGATTGTTGATGGCTGAAAAACGAAGGCAAACGATAAAGTTTGAACTGAAGTTTAATCTGGACCGTTACAAATAAACAATACAAGTGGAAATAATCTAAGACAGTATTGGAAAGTACGGGATAGGAGTTCCACTGGACGGGAGCCAAACCCAACAAAAGGTCAATTTTATAACCTCATCACAATTTCAGCGCATCCACAAAATTATTTTGATTTTGTATGAAATATAAACTCAATTGCAACTGAAATTTCTTTCTTCTTCTCTTCGGTACCCGCCTACGTGTCAAGACCACTCCGTGGTCAACATGCATAATTTATTCACTGACAGTGACATCCTACCGTCTTCTCTTCTCCGTTCTCTTTGTCTCTCTCCCCTGCAAGGCCTTAGCCAGAAAATGGTAAATAGGGAAAATGAATTTCCCAGAAAGTAAGCAGGCTTTAATCCCTTAAACCACTTTTTACTAGTATTTTTCTTTCCATCCATTCGAATCAAGCGATGCTTCTTCACTACACAATTCTTTACCAGTCAACTTTGATTCCACTTTTTGCAGGAAGCCACGACCAAAAACAAGGTTTAACAAAATTTCCCATAAAGAAATACTTAATACAGTATTTAAAGATGAAAGGCAATGAGAAATTGGTGTTCTACCTTGTGTGGAAGTACAGGAAATCCTCATACATCAGCCAGAAATCAAAGTCCCATTACTATATAAAATAAAAGTATATATGACCAGTAGTGAAGAAACCTGAAATGAAATTTTGCCCAAATTTCACCCTAACAATAATCAAGTAGCAGAATAACTAGAAATAGATCCGGAAGATACGTAAGGCAAAGCAAGCAACATATGGTACATAATAATGCACAAAACACCGTAAAATAAACCAGAGGACTCCAGTCGGTGTGGATTGGATTGGAGACCAATTAACAAGGGATCTGTTCAGTGAACCATTCCATGACATGAATTGGAGCTTTGACCAACTCCAGCGCCAGCTCCACTAGAACCGTCACGCACAAACAACAGGGACAGACCAACGTCAACAACAACCTGCCAAAACCCAAGGCAGCAGAAAAATCAAATACCCAGAAGCCAAAGAGCATTCAAAATAGCAGAGTAGAAAATTTTACAGTTACAATCTATAAAGATCAGATTTTCATTAATTGAAAGGCATTCAAATAAAGCCCCAAGAGATTGGAAAAGAAAATTCGAACAAAAACCTAGATCCCAAATATTGTCAAAAGCAGCAAACAGCAGAAGGAAGCCAAGGGGACAGGACTAACCCGACGATCCAAACAACAATTCCAACAATGGAGACGATGAGAGAGAGAAAAGCAAAGGGAAGGCCCAGGAGGAAGCCCAGTGGCCTGCAATCTCCATCACAGCACATGATTGTTGGTTGCTTGATCGAAAGTTGCTTTTATCTTACAATCTTACTACTCCGTCCGGCGAACACTAGAATCTGCTCCTGTAGTGCAGTCCGTTAAGATATTAACATGTAAACCGTCAGATCTGGAAGCACCCACCAAGACTGTTGGATTGAAAATAATTGAGCTGATTACCATGCAACTTAACTTGTAACTGATTATTTCGGGTAATTGTAAATGGTAACTTGGAAGTGTAATCCAAAAAGGCTACGAGAATACGACAGAAAAGGAAGTAGTAGGATCTGTTTCTTTCTAGAATTGGATAAGATAGTTCGTGCTAATATTAAAAGTAAACTTGATATAGATATTGTGCTATGATAAAATATAGAGTGTTTTTTATTTTTGGTTATATAAAATTTCGTATTTGACTTCTGTTGTCACAAGAGATCACGGTTCTTAAAGTTTATATTAAAAGATAATAAAACTTTTATATTTAATTTTTTTTATACATTTGAATCCTAAATTTCTAAATTTTTCTTAATTGAACATATTAAATGAATTTTAGTAAAACAATAATACTTAATAATGTATTTTCAAAACAAAGGATTATAAGGAAATGTAAATAGTTGTTTTAAATTAAAGTTAATTACTAGCATCTGAATTTCAAATGGAAAGAGACACTAAAGTAAAATATGGTTAATACATCACTAGATCGCATTCCAATTACGTAGACAGAATTACGAATTTTTTTATTATTTATTTTTTTTATTGTGAAAATTGGGAAGAACAAACGAAGAACATTTAGTTTAGCACTATTATTATTCTTTTGAATATAAAGTTTTTTTTTTAAAGCTTTTGTAGTATTAATGAAGATTTTAATTCCCTTTAATAAAAAATTATATTAATATATAATCGACCCTTTGCACTCTCTTATATTACAACTATTGATACTTCTATTTATTTATTTTTGTTAAAATTTAAAATAAAGAAATAAATAATTAAAAGTAAAATTATAATGAGTTAAAAGTAACCAAATAATTAACAAGAAAAAAAGATTATTTCTCTATTTGGTAGAATTAAAAAGTTTTTTCAAGTAAATTTCTATACTTGCCAAGTGCACATTTATTTAAGTATGAATAATGTGAACTAGATAGTACTACTTGTTGTCCAAACTTAAAATCAAGATCACTAGAGGGTGGTGGATTATGCTTATCATAAAACTGCTTAGTTTTCATATGTGGTGGCGATGCCTTTGACTAAAAAGTTGGTACTTGCTTACTAATAGGTCGTGGAGTAAGATTACCTTTAGCTTCATCAAGCTTTCTGGCAATGATTTGTGGGTAAAGTATATTTAGTCACATTAAAAATAATAAATTCAACTACCTCCCTTCCAGCTTTCAATATTATTTTTTCTTCTTTTACATCAATGATTGCACCTATGGTAGCTAAGAATGGATGTCCTAAGATTAAAGAAATTTGCACATCCTCTTCCATCTCAAACATAATGAAGTCCACTAGAATGTAAAGATGCCCAAGTTTAACCAACATGTCCTCTATAACCCTAATTGGGTACTTGATCGTTTATCTACTAACTGCAAAGAAACTGTAATAAGTTATATCTCATTAAGTCCAAGTTTCCCAATAATTAATAAAGGCATAATTGAAATACCAACACCAAAATCATACAAAGCTTTATAGAATTTAAATTTGCCAATACTATAAGAGATAGAAAAACTCCTTGGATCCTTAAGCTTTGGTGGAAGCTTATTTGGGATTATAGCACTACACTCCTTAGTACGTGCAACTGTTTCAAAGTTTTCCAGTTTCCTCTTCTTAGTCAGGATATCTCTCAAAAACTTCACGTAGCTTGGCATTTGTTCCAAAGCTTTGACAAAAGGGATATTGATGTGCAACTTCTTGAATACCTTAAGAAACTTTTGGAACTGCTTGTCAAGTTTCTATTTTTGAAGGCGTTGAGGAAAAAGTGATGGTGGAGGGCTTGCTTTTGTATTCTTCTCTTGAAACTTCTTGTCAATATTCACAATCTTGGTTTTATTCCTGACTAACTCTCTTTACTGCTCAACTTGCTTGGAGTTGCTTTCAACCTCTTTTTCACTCCTCAAGGTAATGGCCATGACTTGTTCTTTACCTTCCCTCATCAGACTTGTGTCTATAACACTAGGTATTGTTCCTTGAGCTCTATTGTTTAATGAGATGGCAAGTTGGCCAACTTAGGTCTTAAGGTTTCGAATTGATGCCATTTGGCTTTGAATAATAGTTGATGATTTTCAATGATGGCATCATTCTTTGTCATGAATTGCATAAAAAAATCCTTTATAGATGGTTTCTTTCTTGGATGGGTGGTTTTGCTTACTATTGGAACTCAAAAGGCATGTTCAACCTTTGACCTAAAGATGACCACTAATTGTAACCCTATGAGAAGTTAGGATGGTTCCTCCACCCTAGGTTGTAGATGTTGGTGTAAGAATTGTTTTGCTATCTATTACCCACAACCTGCACTGC